TGTGGATGAGGTGAAGGAGAGAGAAAAGTGTGAAGAATTGAGAGTACATAGTGCCCGAGGACGGGGGGCGGGGGGGGGGTGCTGGGGGCGTGGTAAAGTGTTTGGGGTTTATGGGTATGGGAGGAGTGTGTGGAAGAGGGAACGAGGTGTGTGGAGAGCAGAGGGAGGTGTTCACTGTGTAAACCGTTAATGTTTTTCTTGTTTCACTTTTCAGTAATTTTAGGTTGTAAGACCTACTGTCACTTTGAATTAATATATTCACTTACACTCTGTCTGGGTAAATGAATGTTCTTTGGTTATAATTAACTATTTAATAAATATAATGATAATAGCTTTGGAGTCTTCATTTAGGCATAGGCAGGAGCTGGGGTGTAAGAGGGCTGGGCTGCAGGGTACTGAGGCTCACCATCGTAGGTCACCTCGGCCACGTAGCCGGAGTCGCCGTTGACAGTGTAGTCCACCTTCTGAAGACGACCGTCGGGAAGCAGCACGTAGTAGGAGCCCTGGGTGTCGTAGCCGTCACGGGACTCCTGGTGGCCGAAGTCGTTGCCAGAGTAGTCGTCCTTCACGGCATAGTTGAAGTCGTACTTGGCTGGCTCCTGTTATGGGGAAATGGTATAAATGAACTGTGTAAGAGAATGAATGTTTTCTACGGTATGTTTCACCAAAGCTAATGTATTACTGTCGTGATGGTATTGACATATGTTCATCAATAAATTGTTGTGGTGAAGGAGGCAGTTACCTCGTAGGTTGGTGCGGGGGTGTAGGAGGGCTGGGAGGGGGCAGCTACAGCCACGGCCACCAGGGCCAGCACGACGGCGGTCTGTTGGAGACAACACCTGATAATATTTTGTGTGGAGCTGAAATTATAATTGTCTATCTCCAGTGTGCCAGAGAAACTGATCAACAAATGTGAGATATGTAGCTGGGGACACAAAGATGTTTAGTCCTACAAACTTATATTGTTATTTTATTTGTAGAAATTAAATTTATTTTTCTGTGTTAGTAAAACCTGTTAATAAGAGTTACATGCAATATTTGTTAACAGTAAGTTAATAAACTTATACTGCGGGAGATGCTCACCATAGCGATCATAGTGGTGATGTTTGTGTTTGTGGTGCTGCTGGTCCTGTGTGAGGGCCTTATATACTTTGTTGGGGCGGTGACGGCGGTGTGGGCGTGGCCAAGCGGTAGGCAGTTGGAAGGCCTTGGTGTAGGACACGCCCACATTCTTACGTTGACCTTGGTGCTGGGAAGAAGGGAAAGAGGACGGCGTTTATCATACAAAATTTACTGAGAAACCAGAAACCACAAGTCACAAGTTTTCTTCTTCACGTTACTATTACTATAAAGACGAGAAGATATTACGGCGATGCTTGTGTTCTTCCTTATAAGTGTTAATGCCACACTCCAGTACTCAGGAGACACACACGAGTAACACCGCCTCGCTCTCAGCGCGTAGCCAAATCTTACTTGTCAACTGTGACAGGATGAACGAAGGTGAGAGAGCATCTGCTAGTGACACAATCATACATCTTACACACACAAACAGGTGACGTAAATATTTCACTTGCTGGGAAGATTCATATTTAATACTGATATAGTCAAAATATACAGCTGAGTGATGCACCACTAAGTGACACAGAGATAGAATACAATTTTATTTTATCTGTATTAAATTTTAGCAGCGCCGTTAGCTCTGTATTTTGACAGGTATGTGTGTGTTTGTTTGTTGCCTCTCATAGTCTTTTATCCTGTGCAGTAGCCAGGAAATTTTAGTTATTTAAACTTAATAACAATAATTATTGTTTACGAGTTATAAAACATTTGATGGTTAATTATTTTTGTGTAATAACTGTACATAGTATTTTGCCCTAATGGGCATTCATGTTCTTAGGATATACTTTCCCTCACTGGCATACAAAGGCAATAGTCGATAGTTCCTACATCCAATAATTTCTTCTTGTAGTTTCAGCTTTACAGTAATAAGGATGAGGGGATGATACGAGAAATATTCATTAGGAAAGTTAATGGTAAGAGGGCCAAAGGAGAGGAGAGACCGGGGTGGCTAAAATAAATAAATAACTGATTCCTTAGAGAGTTGTAGAGTTGAAGACTGTGTACGCCACCCCTGAAATATGAGGGCGGTACTATGATTGATTGATTGAATAATATTCATTATGAACGTCATTCAGTAATTATAAAGTACTCGCGCCTGACTGTATATTTAATGTGTCTGTAAATCAATAATTATATTTGTGTAGGACCCAGTAACATCACTTATCCTCATCGCCAGTGATTTGCCTGTTAGCAGCTTGGGCGGTCGGTCACGTCTCTGTGACGTATGTTTGGCAACTACTGGGCATGTACTGGTTTCAGAATATATCTGTATCTGCGCCAGTGTTGGTCACGTCAGGTTCTCGAATGTGTTCACACTTGATGCTGTCACAATACTCTCTGGCAGATTATTCCAAGAGTTCACAACTCTCACTCTAAAATAATTCCTTGATAAATTCCTGAACTTAAGTTTTCTTCAACCTGAGGCTGTGACGTGTTGTGAGGACGTCTAGTACTCGATTGAGTAATATCCTCTTAGGTGCTTCTAGATATATCATCTTAGCTAGTTTGTGTGTGTGAAATACACTATACAAGTCAGTAGATATCGTAGATTGTGATATCAATTTTGTTCCGAGATTTTGTTCTTGAGCTGGACACCTTACCAGGAACCGGGCGGTAATGGACCCCCACACACTCGAACGTTTTGTTTACTTACATTGCACCTCATGTTTAGCCTATTGCTCCTGTACTATTCAGTCTTACTCAGGTATTCTACATCACTGTAGGAGAGGAGTAGCAAACGCAATGTTGGAATGCACAATATATTGACAAGAACCACTAACAACCAGCAATAATCAATCATTAACAATCGCCACACTCATACAACACAGTACATAAATATAAAACTACCCTAAAAATTACCCTAATCCTACCACATACAAATGTACATAAATATTATAAAATTACATTACATTCTAAGCCAGAGTAACACAATTTGCTATCAACCAGAACCGGCTCCACCGACCACCAGCTCGACACCCTCGTGCCGTCCCGTTATCAGATGTGTAGATCTTTTGTTGTTTAATACTTTGGTCTTTAAACTGGCCTGGGACAGCGGGCAGCATTTCAACAACATGCTCCCATTGTTATGAGTTGCCGGAAGTGTTGTGTTAAGAGTGACTGGATGTATGTTTCATTATTATAGGTAGAGGTGTAGTGTGATGAGTTTTATTCCTGACATTCACCATTATAAATTTTATGCAGGTGTGTAAATGTTTACTTATACCTGGCGGGAGCCGTTGAGGTGTCCTGACAGGTATACATATTGTCTCCCAAGTTTTTGTGGCAGAAAAAAATTAACGAGAATGATGTGTGAAGATGAAGAGAGGGATATGTGGTAGAAGAGAGAGGTTGTCGTGGAGGTGAAGGTGTATAGGGTTTACAGTAGGGGTGTGTCGGAGATGGAATGAGGCGTGTGGAGTCGGGAAAAGAGTGTGTGAGTGGAGGGATATGTTCATCTTCAAAATCCAATATTGTCTTTTAACAATTGTCAATAGTATCATGGTTGCACGAGCTACTCTCACCTAACATATTCATTTACATCAGATCATTCAAGGTAAATAAAGGTGTCATTTTTATAATTGACAATTTAATAAATAAAATCATAAATAGCATTAGATTCTTCATTTAGCCGTAGGCAGGAGCTGGGGTGTAGGAGGGCTGGGCTGCAGGGTACTGAGCCTCACCCTCGTAGGTCACCTCGGCCACGTAGCCGGAGTCGCCGTTGACAGTGTAAGCCACCTTCTGAAGACGACCGTCGGGAAGCAGCACGTAGTAGGAGCCCTGGGTGTTGTAGCCGTCACGGGACTCCTGGTGACCGAAGTCGTTGCCAGAGTAGTCGTCCTTCACAGCGTAGTTGAAGTCGTACTTGGCTGGCTCCTGTAATTGGAAAACAGTTTAATTAAATTAGCTTATGGAAACAATTCGTTTTATGTTTCACGAAAGTTATTTTATTAATGTATTGATGGTATTGACACATGTCCAATATGAATTAATTAGGTAAGGTAATTGTGGTTAAGACAAAGTATTGATGGAGGCAGTTACCTCGTAGGCTGGTGCTGGGGTGTAGCCGTAGGAGGGCTGGGTGGGGGCAGCTACAGCCACGGCCACCAGGGCCAGCACGACGGCGGTCTGTGAGAGACAACACCTGATCATGTAATGTTTGATGTGGAGCTGAAATTACTAATATGTTTTACACGTGTCACTCAACAGTACAGTGTACTAAAGAAACTAATGTGAGATACGTAACCGTCGACACAAAGATGTTGAGCCTTAAAAAAACTATTAATGTTGATATATTTTTACAGTAAGTATTTTTTCTGATCTTATAATTACTTTCTTCACAATTTAGGAGTTTGGTTTGATTAATTATACATGCTAAAATGAGAGACATAGTTCATATTTATTATCATTAATAAACGAATATTATGGGCGATGCTCACCTTAGCTATCATTGTGGTGATGCTTGGTCTTGTGGTGCTGCTGGTCCTGTGTGAGAGACTTATATACTTGGTGGGGCGACGGAGGCCGTATGGGCGTGGCCAAGCGATGGGCATCGGGTAAAAGTACTGTAGACTGAGGGACACGCCCACAGTCTCACCTTGACTTTGGTGCCGAGAGTAAGTGAAAGACCACGACCTTCGTATTACAATATTTACTCAGAAACAAAGCACAAGTTTTGCTCTTGATGTTACTATTACTGTAAAGATGAGAAGATATGAAGGCGATGTTTGTGTGATTTCTTGTATGACACACTGCAGTACTCAGGAGACACACACAAGTAACAATACCACGTTCTCAGCTCGTGTGTAAAGCTGTTCATTAAAGGCCCATATTACACGAAATCAAATTCAACGAGAATCACTTTTTGGGAATTCCGATATTTATCACAAATTCAAAATGGCCGCCAAATATTCATTTTATTCAATAAAAATCACCTATACTTCTCAGTTGGTCATTCAATCAAATTTGTTTCCAATATTTATTAAGCTATATTTATATAATATATTTATGTTACTAATATTACAACGTTTCGCGGGATGGCACCAGTGCAAGATGATTCTACGCAAGACTGGCCGAGGTGTTATCCGAACAGAAGAAGCAGCCCAGAAGTTACGTTACACACTGGTTGAGATGTCGACTGTCCTCTCTGCGTAGGTCTACATTGCTCTGCCTCAGGGGATCGACATCTTCGGCCCCGAAGCCGAAAACTGTCACAGATAGTGACTCTGAGGCAACAGTCAGTGAATGCAGCATAGATATGTGGCTACTTTTGTATTAGGATATTTAATTTTAAGGTAATAAAATGGCGGCGATGGTGCAGCTCTTAGGGAAGGCAGGAGGCCACGTTAAAAAAAAGCAGGAGCAGCAGCAGCAGAAACAGCAGCAGCATGAGCAGCAATGGCAGAAGCGGCAGCAGCAGCGTTGACGGGGGCGTCGGCGGCGGCGTCGGCGGGGGAGTCAGGGTGGCGGCGACGACGACAGCAACAGCAGCTTTTTTAATCTTCTGGCTTCATGTCACCTTGACCTTCCTCTCGACGCTACACACAGAAGGAACGAGAACGAAGATAACTGTATGCATTCTTCATAATGATCGTCATTCACTAATTATCACTTGCTCCTTGCTTACACAATGTCTTAGGACTTATTTGTATATATAATTCACTATTAATATTTGTAAAGGAAGCTGTACTATTTTTCTTGCTTTAATTTATGCCGTTCATGACTGATTTTCCTGTGGGCCTCTTCGGCGGTGCTTACATTTCTGTTTCGCACTGTTGGCAAGTACTGGACATGACCTGGGTCCAAAAAGTATCTGTACCTGAGCCAGTGATGGCCAATTCTTGTCTTGAATGAACTCACAGTAGGTGCCGTTACAACTCCCTTGTGCAGATTATTCGAATAGTTGACAACTCTCACTAAACAAGTTTGCAATGGTAATTTTACTATTGTGTGGCTTCTGTAACCTGGATCTTTGACCTCCTCGTGGGGCAGGCATCCACTAGTTCTATGTATTAAAACACGAGTAAGGTGATTATAAATATATCACATTAAAAAGTAATTGTGTGTAACATTACAAGTTTGTATATTTAATCAATGTATAAGAGATGAGGATTATTCAGCGTGTATCTGGGTTCATGTCATAGTGCCTCTATGACCATAGTGCCTCAGAGGATGTCATAGTGCCTCTATGACCATAGTGCCTCAGAGGATGTCATAGTTCCTCTATGACCATAGTGCCTCAGATGATGTCATAGTGCCTCTATGACCATAGTGCCTCAGAGGATGTCATAGTGCCTCTATGATCATAGTGCCTCAGAGGATGTCATAGTGCCTCTATGACCATAGTGCCTCAGAGGATGTCATAGTGCCTCTATGACCATAGTGCCTCAGAGGATGTCATAGTGCCTCTATGACCACAGTGCCTCAGAGGATGTCATAGTGCCTCTATGACCATAGTGCCTCTATGACCATAGTGCCTTAGTGGATGTCATAATATCTCATTTAGTGTTAAACAGGAGTTTCTCTCTTTAATGTTTCATTCGTTTATACTGTGTGAACAATAACAGATTTAATATATTGGTATCTTAGTACAAAATATATAAATGATTTTGTTTTCAACAACTTCAGGTTATAAATGACGTCATCAGGAGGTGGCCTCTCAGGAATATCCTCTCATAGATGGCGCCGTCAATCAGGGCCTTTTGTTAATCCCATTGTAAAAGTTGACGGAGGTGTTGTGTTAAGAGTGACCCGATTTATATTTTCTTACATAGGAGAGGTGTAGTGTGAGGAGTTGGATTTCTGACATTCACCATTAATTATTTTGTGCAGGTGTGAAAATGTTCACTTGCATCTCTAGGTGGCCACTTACGTGACCTGACAGGTAGACAGTAGAAACTAAGAGACATATTGTCTCTCAAGTGTTTGTTTCAGGGATAACTTGGGAAATGTGTTTTAGGGAGCGAGTGTGAAGATGGAGAGGGAGATGTGTGGATGAGGTGAAGGAGAGAGAAAAGTGTGAAGAAGTGAGAGTACATAGTGGCCGAGGAGGAGGAGGGGGGGGGCTGTGGGGCGTGGTAAAGTGTTTGGGGTTTAAGGGAGGAGTGTGTGGGAGAGGGAACGAGGTGTGTGGAGAGCAGAGGGAGGTGTTCACTGTGTAAACCGTTTATGTTTTTCTTGTTTCACTTTTCAGTAATTTTAGGTTGTAAGAGCTTCTGTCACCTTGAATTAATATATTCACTTGCACTCTCTCTGGGTAAATGAATGTTCTTTGGTTATAATTAACTATTTAATAAATATAATGATTATAGCTTTGGAGTCTTCATTTAGGCATAGGCAGGAGCTGGGGAGTAAGAGGGCTTGGCTGCAGGGTACTGAGCCTCACCCTCGTAGGTCACCTCGGCCACGTAGCCGGAGTCGCCGTTGACAGTGTAGTCCACCTTCTGAAGACGACCGTCGGGAAGCAGCACGTAGTAGGAGCCCTGAGTGTCGTAGCCGTCACGGGACTCCTGGTGGCCGAAGTCATTGCCAGAGTAGTCGTCCTTCACGGCATAGTTGAAGTCGTACTTGGCTGGCTCCTGTTATGGGGAAATGGTATAAATGAATGTTTTCTACGGTATGTTTCATCAAAGCTAATGTATTACTGTCTTGAGGGTATTGACATGTGTTCATTTATGATTTATTTACGTGAAGTAATTGTGGTTGAGACATAGTGGTGAAAGAGGCAGTTACCTCGTAGGCGGGTGCGGGGGTGTAGCCGTAGGAGGGCTGGGAGGGGGCAGCTACAGCCACGGCCACCAGGGCCAGCACGACAGCGGTCTGTTGGAGACAACACATGATAATATTTGGTGTGGAACTGAAATATCAAGTGTCAATCTACAGTGTGCCAGAGAAACTGATCAACAAATGTGAGATAAGTTGCTGGGGACACAAAGATGTTGAAATTCCTACAAACTTATTTTGTTATTTTATTTATAAAAATACATTTTTTTTTCTGTGTTAAATAAACCTGTTAATATGAGTTTCACGGCAATACTTGCTAACAGTAAGTTAATAAACTGATACTGTAGGAGATGGTCACCTTAGCGATCATTGTGGTAATGTTTGAGTTTGTGGTGCTGCTGGTCCTGTGTGAGGGCATTATATATTTGGTGAGTCGGTGACGGCGGTATGGGCGAGGCCAAGCTGTGGTCAGTAGGGAGAGGTGGGTTGAGGGACACGCCCACACTCTTACCATGACCTTGGTGCTGGGAGGAAGCGAAAGAAGACGACCTTTAAATTACAACAAGTTTTCTTCTTCGCGTTACTATTACTATAAAGACGAGGATATATTAAGGCGATGCTTGTGTTCTTCCTTATAAGTGTTAATGACACACTCCAGTACTCAGGAGATACACACGAGTAACACCGCCACGCTCTCAGCTCGTGACTAAGTTATATTTGTTAACTGTGGCAAGATGAACAAAGGTGAGAGAACCTCTTCTTGATTCACACTCAGACAACTTACGCACGCAAACAGGTGACGTAAATATTTCACTTACTGGGAAGATTCATACTTGATACTGGTATAGTAAAAATATACAGCTTTGTGATTCACCAGTAAGTGGCACAGAGGCAGAATATATTTTGTATTCTTAAATTTTAGCAGCTCCGTCAACTCTGTATTTTGCAAGGGTTGTGTGTTTGTTTATTGCCTTTTATAGTATTCGGCCAACTCTGATCCTGTGTACTGTACAGAAGGTTTAGTAAATAAAACTTAATGGACTAATATTATTGTTGACAAGTTCATTATAAAACATTAAATGATTAATGATTTTTGTGTAATAACTCTATATTTATTATAATCTACTAACCGCCAGCAATGCTCTTTAGGACCCAATTTCACTTTCACTGGCAAACAAAGAGAATATTCGACATTTCCAACATACGGTATTTTTTATCTTTTAATTTTATCTTTACAGTAATAAGGATGGGGAGATGATATCAGAAATATCAGTTGTTAAAGTTGATGGTAAGAGGGCCAGGGGAAAGCAGAGCCTGGGATGGATGAAATAAAATTTAATCTGGCCCCCAGAGAGATATGAAATCTCGGAGATTTGGTAAAAAAAAAAATAATAATTAATAAAAAAAATAAAAAATAAACTGCCCGAAAATGTATAGAGTGTAGTACTGTGTGCGCCAACCCTCAGATATTATGAGGACGGTACACTGATTAAGAACATAAGAACATAAGAACATAAGAAAGTGGGATACTGCAGGAGGCCGACTGGCCCATACAGGGCAGATCCCTTTCACACCCATCCCAGCACTTCCATTGGCCTATCCAACTTCGTCTTGAAGCTCCCTAGCGTCCCCGATCCTACTATAGCACTCGGTAGCCTATTCCACATATCCACAACTCTATTACCAAACCAGTGCTTGCCTATATCCTTTCTGAATCGGAATTTATCTAATTTAAAGCCATTTGTTCTAGTTATTTCGTTATTACTGAGCTTCAGAACATCTTCCATTTTACCCTTGTTAATCCCACTTACCCACTTGTACACCTCTATCATATTTCCCCTAACTC